CCGTCATGTTTTTTAGTTAAAATATAGTTAATTGTACGTAATAAGCCTTATTTAACAAAGTAAAAAATGAAAAAATAACATTTTTTGCAATAAAAAAGTTATTGAATTTTTCCGCAAAGCGCCGCTGCTTTTTGACCATATAGTGGGGCCTCATATCGGTACGAACAAAAACGGCCCTGTAAAAAGCTCTACTTGCCAGCAAAATTGCTCGACAAACCGAAACTTAATTTACTGGGAGATTGTAAAGGGGCGTGGCGAACGCACGTGCTTCAATCAAAACGGCCGGCATTAAAATTACCTATAAAATTAATTTTCTTAAGTTTTTTGGTTATTAATTAAAATTTCATAATGTCCTTCTCAACGAAGTATGGAGATATTTTAGAAGAAAAAGTTACCCAGTTACACAAGGTAATCTAATAGATGTCTAAATCTGGTATAAGTAATCTAAATAACATCTAAATATACAAATGGATCTGATTTCGATCGTATTTTATGAAATAGTTTTTAGATGATTTTGCAAAGACATCTAAAATATGTATAATACAGTTTAAACTTAAGTAGAAGCTCTTGTTTGACGTGTATTAGACATTGAGAATGATAGGTCTCTTAAATGTAAAGGATTTTCACTAGTTTTATACATTAGACTGGGCCAAAAAAATTGACTATTTTTTTTTTTGAAAAATATATCGAGAATGTCATTCAGAATGACAAAAAAAATATTTCGTGAAAATTTGAGCCCTTAATATTAATTTTAAGAGGTCTATCATCACTATTTTTTATTTTTAGTCATAATTTGATGTTTTACGTTAGAACTGTCAAAATAATAAAGTGAAAAAAATTCCTTTTCACTTATTTTTATATAAAATTAAATTCTCTACAAAAAAGGTGTGATTGAAAATTTTCGTCAGACGAGCCGTTTCCGAGTAATTGAGCTTAATAAATCGATGTGTTTTTTCGATTTGCCCTTTTTACTTTGAAATTTTGTAACTAATGAATCAATGAATATTTAAAAAAGCTCACATCGGATTCTTAAAGTAAATTTAATGTTCTACAAAAAAGGTCTCTTAACATTTTTGCCTAAATTTAATTTTTCAAAAGTTATTCACGATTAAAATCGAAGAAAAACTTAAAATTTCAATTTTTTCTTCGTGAATAACTTTTGAAGAATTAAATTAAGGCAAAAATGTTCCGAGACCTTTTTTGTAGAACATTAAATTTCCTTTAAGAATCCGACGTGAGCTTTTTTAAATATTCATTGATTCATTAGTTACAAAATTTCAAAGTAAAAAGGGCAAATCGAAAAAACACATCGATTTATTAAGCTCAATTACACGGAAACGGCTCGTCTGGCGAAAATTTTCAATCAGACCTTTTTTGTAGAGAATTTAATTTTTTATAAAAATAAGTGACAAGGAATTTTTTTCACTTTATTGTTTTGACAGTTCCAACGTAAAACATCATATTATGACTAAAAATCAAAAATAGCGATGATAGACCTCTTAAAATTAATATTGAGGGCTCAAATTTTCACGAAATTTTTTTTTTGTCATTCTGAATGACATTCTCGATATATTTTTCAAAAAAAAAAATAGTCAATTTTTTTGGCCCAGTCTATTATACATGTATTGCCAAATCATTTATAGATGCCACTTAGTGATACATCTAAAAGATATAAAACTTATAATATAATGGTCTTTGGTTAATTTTTATTTTTGACATCTGTAGCATACCTTAAACTGCGCATATATAAAACAATCCAGGAACTACTGCGCATATATTTAACCAACTATTTACTGGGCATGGATTCAATAATCCAGGAACTACTGAGCATAGATACAACCATCTAGGAGGAAATGATTCAGTTTTAAAATTTGACATTTCACATACAAACAAACAAATATTGCAAGTAAAATAAGAGCTTGTACAAAAATCAAACGGTAAAATATTTTCTTAACATACTCATCTCGATACTCATATTTTGAAGATATTTTAATATTTTAAAGTAAAAATGAATGTTAGATTGAATAAAATGAATAACGGGTAATATTAAATTAAAAATCAAAAATGTTTGCTGGGAACGATCTAATTCCCCACTAAACATTTTTAACGCATTTGTCACCATTAACATTGCTCGTAATTCATTTTACTAAAGATAACATTTATTTTTACTTTACTATAATTGCAAAATTTTATTAAAAAGGAATGAAAATATTAAAAATTCTTAAAGGAACAAAAAGTTAAGGTTATGTTTACTTTGGAGCTACTTTGCCTGCGCGCGCACGGTCGATCTCATTCCTTTGTTCACTGTGGCTTCGCGTGCTTACTTTTGAGTTCGCTGCAATGTAAATGACAATTTTAGTTGGTAATTTGATACAATTTTATATTTGGTGGTGATAAATTTTGTCTTTTTGTGCTGTGCATATGTCCACAAAATTTTAGGTAAGTTTACATTTATAATTATTAACATTTTATTGAATTTGGATGACGGATCTATAATTGATCTATAATAGATGGAGCAGATATTTACCTTTTGCCAATAAATAAACTATAATAACGTATGATTCATATGGTTTTGTAATAAAAATCTGTCTCCCTAGGTTTTGCGTTAGAAATAAAGATATTTTTTCAATGTATTGAAAATTCACCTATTTAATTAAGTCAGTATTAGTACCTATATTGCTCTATAGCTGATCCATAACAGATCCCTAATAGATGATTGTTTTATTAGGTACTCGTTTTATTAATGTCTGCACAATTTTCCAATAATAATTATTATTGGAAAATTGATAATTTAATTACATAGATTGTACCTAAATTAATTAAAGAATTTTGTTTTTAACGCTTAGTTCATTACCTTTTCCTCATTATGTCAGATACCAAAATTCAAATTTATAATTGGTCCTTCTATGGTTACAATCTAGGTATACAATCTGCACTATGTTCTTTCTTTCTTGGGTATTTGAAACAAGTTACCCTATGGGGCTAAATTAATATTAATATAATTTTCTAGTGAATTTTAGTCTTTTTATTCTCAATCTTTCTAGAAACAAGTTATTTTATAAGTCCATGTATTCATTATAGTAACTGTTGGCAATAAATTAACAATGTATTATTATTATTAAGAAAAGAAAAGTGATTACTTTATAATTGATCCATAGTAGATCTGAAGTAGATAATTCCATATGTTGTACTACAGAGAAGAAGTAAATTGAAAACTTATAATAATAAGGGCCTTTCCTGGTTATGTAAAAAAAACAAATTTTTTAATTGATCCTAATAGATCATTTTATCACATGAAATAGATGCCTCCATTCGAGTAGACATCAGGATCAAAATACGGTCAAATTGGACTACATACTTCGATATCTTTTAAACAACAAGGTGAAGCAATTGACAAGGCCTATTGGTTTGCCAACATTCCCAATTCAACAAAGATCGGATTTTAAAAAATTTGTAAGAGGAACTAATGCATCCCAGCAAATTTGCGTATGTGGTAAGCCGCTTTTTTATTTATTTTAATTACCTTATATAAATGATGATGATGATATAATTAACACACTTGTAAGTATCAACAGAAAAACAGATTAGCTGCTATTGAAGGTAGCAACCTGATATCAGCTACCATAAATGGATTAAAATATTTGCTTGCCAATAAAGTTGCCAAGAGATTTAACCAAGCGCGAAATAATGGAAAGAGGGCCTTTAAATCTACGAAAACGTCAGAAGTTCTCCGGGGTATGAAATACACAATTGTCTGTAACCTTCTTCCTTTCAGATGCTGTGTTTCTACATTTTATCAACAGCGGTATAAACGCTGAATTAACTGATAACACCATAATAAAAGCTACTCAAGACTGGTTACGCCTGATAACCCAGTGTTATAATTATAATAAAAATAAAAATAATTCATAATATATATTTAAAGTAACTTATATTTAAATTAAACCAAAGGGATACCAAAAATAGAATATAATTTTTGTTTTTGTTAAATACATATATAGAACTTATTTTTGCTACTTTATTTTGTTATTTTTTAAGGATTTTTTTTATTTTATATAAAACTATTTGGCTTTTATTGAAAATAAAATATGAAGAAAGAAATTCATTAAAAGACTTTTCATATTTGTAGAATTTCTTGCTTAAGCAATGTACCCCGCACTCCTCTATGTTTTTAGGTTAAGCGCTTTTTTATTAGACGAGTATATCTGTTTTCCTATAGGACGTCTATATTATAATATAGACGTCATATTATTTTCTAGGAAATCTTTACATTCAGAATATAGATTGAGCACGACAGAGGTCTTAATTTAAAAACATAAATAAGACGTATATATATACTGGCCTAAGAAAAAAAGCATTTAGCCTAAATATGGTCATCTTCTAAAAACATAGATAAAACATCTAAAAAAAGAAGCATTTAGATTAAATTTAGACCTCGGCTCATTTTAGACTGAAGACGTCCATAATAGGACTACATATATACTCATCTAAAACAAAAAGGATTGAGATGAATTTTAGATCTTTGCTCTGCTTAATCTAGTCTGAATATAGATATTCCCTAAAAACATAGATAAGGTCCATATTAAAACTATCATCTAAAGCAATACTTATATAAGATCAAATTTAGACCTATGATCTTATAATGATATAATAACGTACCTAATTTATACGTCTATCTCGAGGACATTTCGATGTCGATAAGCAATCTAAACAATACGATCTATAGATATCTGACGACGACGTCTAATTATCATCTTTTAGATGAAACTGTGTTGCTTGGGTAGTTTTATTATAGCTTCTAAAGAATTAAAAAGGAACAATTTCGAAAAAAGATTAAAGTAAGTACACTTTAAAATGTTGGTATTATTATTTTTAAATATAAAATAATTTTTTGTTTTACAAAACAGCAATTTTAAATAATTTTTTCGTTTTTAGGGAAAAATTTGTTCACCTAAGTTTGGACGATGTAGATATACGGTCAATTCATATATTCAAACAAAATGATTACGTTATTTATATATATGTCGTTGAAGAACAATATTAGGGACGCGTTTGAGGCCTACGTATTTTTTGATGACGACGAAGAGGCCTCAGAAGAATTATACATCTCCAGATCAATTTTCAACAATGAGATTAAAGTACCCGAAATAAAAAAGCTATTGGAAAGCAATTTCGGAGACCAAATCCAAATCTCGTTAGTGGGTAAGTGAATCTTAAATCGATTAAATAAACCCAACCGTTAATATTAAGCACACCAATTATTAATTTTTTTTTTTCATTCAGTACCTAGGCCTCAAACGCAAACGTTTGAGCCCTTACAACGAGCACGCAGCCGTGGCCGCGCCAGGGCCCTGCAGGGGTCGCCACACAAGTGGATGGGGTACACGGCCCTATCCATTTATTGAACGTGGACGTGGACGGGGAAGTGGACGGGGACGTGGACGTCCCAATAAAGTAATAATAAATTTTTAAGTTTTTGTGTTTGTGTTTTACAAAACAGCAATTTTAAATAATTTTTTCGTTTTTTAGGAAAAAATTTGTTCACCTAAGTTTGGACGATGAAGATATAGGGTCAATTCATATATTCAAACAAAATGATTACGTTATTTATATATATGTCGTTGAAGGGGGGGAATACAATATTAGGGACGCGTTTGAGGCCTACGCATTTCTTGATGACGACGAAGAGGCCTCAGAAGAATTATACATCTCCAGATCAATTTTTAACAATGAGATTAAAGTACCCGAAATAAAAAAGCTATTGGAAAGCAATTTCGGAGACCAAATCCAAATCTCGTTAGTGGGTAAGTGAATCTTAAATCGATTAAATAAACCCAACCGTTAATATTAAGCACACCAATTAATAAATTTTATTTTTCTTTCAGTACCTAGGCCTCAAACGCAAACGTTTGAGCCCTTACAACGAGCACGCGGCCGTGGCCGCGCCAGGGCCCTGCAGGGGTCGCCACACAAGTGGATGGGGTACACTATCCATTTATTGAACGTGGACGTGGACGGGGACGTGGACGGGGACGTGGACGTCCCAATGAAGTAATAATAAATTTTTAAGTTTTTGTGTTTGTATTTTACAAAACAGCAATTTTAAATAATTTTTTCGTTTTTTAGGGAAAAATTTTTGAACCTCAATTTGGAAGATGAAGAAACAGGCTCCATTTTCGTATTCAAAGAGGAAGACTTCCTTATATATATATACATATATATATATATATATATATATATATATATATATCACGAGCAATTTTCAGCAAAGATATTGTTGTTTCTGAAGTCAAGAGGCTTCTCAAGGAAAATTTTGGAGAAATCCAAATATCTTTAGTGGGTAAGTGAATCTTAAATCGATTAAATAAACCCAACCGTTAATATTAAGCACACCAATTAATAAATTTTATTTTTCTTTCAGTACCTAGGCCTCAAACGCAAACGTTTGAGCCCTTACAACGAGCACGCGGCCGTGGCCGCGCCAGGGCCCTGCAGGGGTCGCCACACAAGTGGATGGGGTACACGGCCCTATCCATTTATTGAACGTGGACGTGGACGGGGACGTGGACGGGGACGTGGACGTCCCAATGAAGTAATAATAAATTTTTAAGTTTTTGTGTTTGTATTTTACAAAACAGCAATTTTAAATAATTTTTTCGTTTTTTAGGGAAAAATTTGTTCACCTAAGTTTGGACGATGAAGATATAGGGTCAATTCATATATTCAAACAAAATGATTACGTTATTTATATATATGTCGTTGAAGGGGGGGAATACAATATTAGGGACGCGTTTGAGGCCTACGCATTTCTTGATGACGACGAAGAGGCCTCAGAAGAATTATACATCTCCAGATCAATTTTTAACAATGAGATTAAAGTACCCGAAATAAAAAAGCTATTGGAAAGCAATTTCGGAGACCAAATCCAAATCTCGTTAGTGGGTAAGTGAATCTTAAATCGATTAAATAAACCCAACCGTTAATATTAAGCACACCAATTAATAAATTTTATTTTTCTTTCAGTACCTAGGCCTCAAACGCAAACGTTTGAGCCCTTACAACGAGCACGCGGCCGTGGCCGCGCTAGGGCCCTGCAGGGGTCGCCACACAAGTGGATGGGGTACACGGCCCTATCCATTTATTGAACGTGGACGTGGACGTCCCAATAAAGTAATAATAAATTTTTAAGTTTTTGTGTTTGTATTTTACAAAACAGCATTTTTAAATAATTTTTTCGTTTTTTAGGGAAAAATTTGTTCACCTAAGTTTGGACGATGAAGATATAGGGTCAATTCATATATTCAAACAAAATGATTACGTTATTTATATATACGCGTTGAAGGGGGGAATATAATATTAGGGACGCGTTTGAGGCCTACGCATTTCTTGATGACGACGATGAGGCCTCAGAAGAATTATACATCTCCAGATCAATTTTCAACAATGAGATTAAAGTACCCGAAATAAAAAAGCTATTGGAAAGCAATTTCGAAGACCAAATCCAAATCTCGTTAGTGGGTAAGTGAATCTTAAATCGATTAAATAAACCCAACCGTTAATATTAAGCACACCAATTAATAAATTTTATTTTTCTTTCAGTACCTAGGCCTCAAACGCAAACGTTTGAGCCCTTACAACGAGCACGCGGCCGTGGCCGCGCCAGGGCCCTGCAGGGGTCGCCACACAAGTGTATGGGGTACACGGCCCTATCCATTTATTGAACGTGGACGTGGACGGGGACGTGGACGTCCCAATAAAGTAATAATAAATTTTTAAGTTTTTGTGTTTGTATTTTACAAAACAGCAATTTTAAATAATTTTTTCGTTTTTTAGGGAAAAATTTGTTCACCTAAGTTTGGACGATGAAGAAATAGGGTCAATTCATATAATCAAACAAAATGATTACGTTATTTATATATACGCGTTGAAGGGGGGAATACAATATTAGGGACGCGTTTGAGGCCTACGCATTTCTTGATGACGACGATGAGGCCTCAGAAGAATTATACATCTCCAGATCAATTTTCAACAATGAGATTAAAGTACCCGAAATAAAAAAGCTATTGGAAAGCAATTTCGAAGACCAAATCCAAATCTCGTTAGTGGGTAAGTGAATCTTAAATCGATTAAATAAACCCAACCGTTAATATTAAGCACACCAATTAATAAATTTTATTTTTCTTTCAGTACCTAGGCCTCAAACGCAAACGTTTGAGCCCTTACAACGAGCACGCGGCCGTGGCCGCGCCAGGGCCCTGCAGGGGTCGCCACACAAGTGGATGGGGTACACGGCCCTATCCATTTATTGAACGTGGACGTGGACGGGGACGTGGACGGGGACGTGGACGTCCCAATGAAGTAATAATAAATTTTTAAGTTTTTGTGTTTGTATTTTACAAAACAGCAATTTTAAATAATTTTTTCGTTTTTTAGGGAAAAATTTTTGAACCTCAATTTGGAAGATGAAGAAACAGGCTCCATTTTCGTATTCAAAGAGGAAGACTTCCTTATATATATATATATATATATATATATTAGGGTGTTCCTTATTTAGGGGTCGGAAAAAATTTAACAGAGCCGCCCCCCAAATCGGTTCCAAATCATAAAAAAAAAATTCCTGCAAAATTTTAGGTCATTCGGTCAAAGGGAACACGTGCCCCACAGGGGTTTTTTAAGAAATAATTGAGAAAATTCGGAAGGCTGATATAACTCCGAAACGGTCCATCGTAGTAAAAAAAAGTGTATATAAATTTTATGTGTTTTTTTTAGATAAACAACTTTCGTAATAACAGTCCTGCGTTAAAAAAATTTATTCGGGGTCAAAACGCGATAAAACGCTTTTTTGTGTACTTTAGCGCTACCTACTTTTTCAATTTTCTGTCCTAGAGCATCGACCCAATGACATAAATTGTAGGGGACAATGCACCCTACATTTTTTGTTGACAAAATTTTTTTCTTAAACTAACCGATTTTGAAAAAAATTAAATCCAAAACTTTTTGAGTTTTCACCAAAAACACGTTGTGCTCCGAAACTCCGAAACGGTTTATCGTAGGAAAAAATAGTTTAAATAAATTTTGTAGTTTTTTTTCAAGCTAATCAACTTTCCTAATGCCTTTGTCACAATAGTGTTAATGTTAATGGTAATGTTTATATAGCATAGACAAATGCGTGTATCAACGTAACCATCAACATTACCATCATTGTGAACGGATACACGCATATTTCTATGCTTTGGGTATTAACATTAACATTACTATTAACATTAACACTATTGTGAGATATAATAATAGTGCTGCGTTAAAAATAAATCGAGTTCAAAAAGCGATACAACGCTTTTTTTGGTACTTTGGCCCTACCTACTGCTGAAATTTTCGATCGACTTAATAACATAAATTGTAGGGACTACATTTTTTGATTAAATTTTTTTTTCTAAATCTTATCGTTTTTGAGAAAAATAAAATATAAAAAAACAAAAATTGAGTTTTCTCCTTAATCCGGAGTAGGATAACGCAGTTGAGTTTTCTCCTTAATCCGGACTAGGATAACGCAGTTGAATTTAGGCTTTTTTTATAAGGCCACAATGATTCACGCAAAAAAAAATCTTGCAAAATTTAAGATTAATCCGTCAAAACTAACACGTACGCACGTGTTATTTTTGCCGATTAACCTCAAATTTTGCAAGATTTTTTTTTTGCGTTGATACACGCATTTGTCTATGCTTTATTAACATTACCATTAACATTAACACTATTGTGACAAAGGCATTAGGAAAGTTGATTAGCTTGAAAAAAACTACAAAATATATTTTAACTTTTTTTTCCTACTATAAACCGTTTCGTAGTTTCGGAGCACAACGTGTTTTTAGTGAAAACTCAAAAAGTTTTGGATTTAATTTTTTTCAAAATCGGTTAGTTTAAGAAAAAAATTTTGTCAAAAAAATGTAGGGTGCATTGTCCCCTACAATTTATGTCATTGGGTCGATGCTCTAGGACAGAAAATTGAAAAAGTAGGTAGCGCTAAAGTACACAAAAAAGCGCTTTATCGCGTTTTGACCCCGAATAAATTTTTTTAACGCAGGACTGTTATTACGAAAGTTGTTTATCTAAAAAAAACTCATAAAATTTATATACACTTTTTTTTCCTACGATGGACCGTTTCGGAGTTATATCAGCCTTCCGAATTTTCTCAATTATTTCTTAAAAAACCCCTGTGGGGCACGTGTTCCCTTTGACCGAATGACCTAAAATTTTGCAGGAATTTTTTTTTTATGATTTGGAACCGATTTGGGGGGCGGCTCTGTTAAATTTTTTCCGACCCCTAAATAAGGAACACCCTAATATATATATATATATATAGTTGAAGGAGAGTTCAACATTAGGAACGCGTTTGAGGCGTACGCGTTTCTAGAAGACGATGAAAAGGCCTCAGAGGAAATAGCATTATCACGAGCAATTTTCAGCAAAGATATTGTTGTTTCTGAAGTCAAGAGGCTTCTCAAGGAAAATTTTGGAGAAATCCAAATATCTTTAGTGGGTAAGTGAATCTTAAATCGATTAAATAAACCCAACCGTTAATATTAAGCACACCAATTAATAAATTTTATTTTTCTTTCAGTACCTAGGCCTCAAACGCAAACGTTTGAGCCCTTACAACGAGCACGCGGCCGTGGCCGCGCCAGGGCCCTGCAGGGGTCGCCACACAAGTGGATGGGGTACACGGCCCTATCCATTTATTGAACGTGGACGTGGACGTCCCAATAAAGTAATAATAAATTTTTAAGTTTTTGTGTTTGTATTTTACAAAACAGCATTTTTAAATAATTTTTTCGTTTTTTAGGGAAAAATTTGTTCACCTAATTTGGACGATGAAGATATAGGGTCAATTCATATATTCAAACAAAATGATTACGTTATTTATATATACGCGTTGAAGGGGGGAATATAATATTAGGGACGCGTTTGAGGCCTACGCATTTCTTGATGACGACGATGAGGCCTCAGAAGAATTATACATCTCCAGATCAATTTTCAACAATGAGATTAAAGTACCCGAAATAAAAAAGCTATTGGAAAGCAATTTCGAAGACCAAATCCAAATCTCGTTAGTGGGTAAGTGAATCTTAAATCGATTAAATAAACCCAACCGTTAATATTAAGCACACCAATTAATAAATTTTATTTTTCTTTCAGTACCTAGGCCTCAAACGCAAACGTTTGAGCCCTTACAACGAGCACGCGGCCGTGGCCGCGCCAGGGCCCTGCAGGGGTCGCCACACAAGTGGATGGGGTACACGGCCCTATCCATTTATTGAACGTGGACGTGGACGGGGACGTGGACGTCCCAATAAAGTAATAATAAATTTTTAAGTTTTTGTGTTTGTATTTTACAAAACAGCAATTTTAAATAATTTTTTCGTTTTTTAGGGAAAAATTTGTTCACCTAAGTTTGGACGATGAAGATATAGGGTCAATTCATATATTCAAACAAAATGATTACGTTATTTATATATATGTCGTTGAAGGGGGGGAATACAATATTAGGGACGCGTTTGAGGCCTACGCATTTCTTGATGACGACGAAGAGGCCTCAGAAGAATTATACATCTCCAGATCAATTTTTAACAATGAGATTAAAGTACCCGAAATAAAAAAGCTATTGGAAAGCAATTTCGGAGACCAAATCCAAATCTCGTTAGTGGGTAAGTGAATCTTAAATCGATTAAATAAACCCAACCGTTAATATTAAGCACACCAATTAATAAATTTTATTTTTCTTTCAGTACCTAGGCCTCAAACGCAAACGTTTGAGCCCTTACAACGAGCACGCGGCCGTGGCCGCGCCAGGGCCCTGCAGGGGTCGCCACACAAGTGGATGGGGTACACGGCCCTATCCATTTATTGAACGTGGACGTGGACGGGGACGTGGACGTCCCAATTGTAACATTTAAATTTCAGTAATTAAATATTTTGAGAAAAAAATAAATATAATCTTGGGATTTTTAAAATTAAATAATAAATCAACCAGTTTGTTTGTAAATAGAGTTTATTTATTAAATTTATTTAAGTTATAAGTAAATATGTTTTTTTGCTGTGACGTCATACATTCTTTAAATTCCTTTGGAGTTGGTGAATTTTAACCTGAAAAGTAAAATTGTATCAATGGAAATTTTGCGTAAACAGGAAATATTACATTAATAGGCAGTAGTTGCCATTTGTCACTTTACCTACCTTTATATCGATGCTCCAATTCGATCGCTTGGCACGATGATTTTGATCGACAACAGTGTTCTCTAGGTTCCTGAAAATAATTAAAAGATGTACCTATTTCATTGTGATGGAAAATACTTAAATGTTTCCTTTTCAATTGATGCTTATTTCCAGTAATATTTTTAGTTATTGTTGGTTGATACTTACATGTTGTGGTTTAATTTGGTTTATTTACTGTCATTTGTTTTGCATAAAAATCACTGTGTTTTTTTGACGATTACAGTCCATAATGATTTATTTCCCTAAAAATTAATAACAATACAATATTTATCCATATTATGAATAATAGTTGGGTATTTGATTAGCGCAGTTAATTGAATCGTTTCTTATTGGTGCATTTTTGTAACCCAGGATATTTATTGGCTTATAATTTATTTCCTGTTAAGTATGGGTTCTTTTTCTTTGGAAATTAAAAGACTTAAGGCCGTTTTGTTTGATATTCTATGGTGGTAAAATTTGTGTGGTTTTTTTTTATTGTCTCATTTTTTAAAATATTTTAGATAATTAGTAAATTAAAATTTGTTTATGACAATATTCGCGCATGTCTAAAGAAGGTCAAGGAAGTCTTCTAGAAGGAAGTCAGTCTTTTGGTGAATCTTTATCGTTGTGCACATACTTGTTGGAATTTTTGAATTGAACCTTTTTGAAGGGATTTAAGTGCCACGATATTTTTATATAGGAAGAGAGTGTGTTGGATTTTGCAGTTGTGTTGATTTTCGATCTCGATTCCTACAGCGTTTGCTGGATTTTTCAAGATTACCAAAACTAACCACGTAGCCGTCCATCATCTAGGGTTACCAATTGAATTGCAGTTTTTTTTGCTTTGAAAGCCTAAAAGCTGATACCTACCATCGCAGTAAGTCATTTTATTTTTTCCTTCTTCCTTCAGTTCCGCTAATTATTTTATTTGTAGAAACAAGTTTGAAACTTTTCATTTGGAATTTATCTCAAAAGGAAAAAAACCCTTCATTGAAGGTATGTTGTATGTAAAGTTAAGGGTTGTTACTTAATAATATTTTTTTATAGGGTTTTTTTTTTTGGGTTGTTTCCTCGAGTTCCTTTAAATTTTAATATTCTGGAAATTCATTGAAGAAATATATTTGGACGTTTTCTGGCAGGAAAATCTTGAGAGCCGCCGCCATCTTGTATTGAATTTACTTCGGGAATCTTCAGGTGCCGACACTTAAGGTCAGATCTATCCTGTTTTTGCTTTTATATAGTTTTTTTGTTATAACTTTGACATCAAATAGATCTGAAAATAAATTAATTTAAGTTTATCTTAAATAGTTACAATAGAATTATAATAATAATATTACTTACCTATTTTCCCTGTAAATCATTTATAGCTGGCCAGATATAAAAGAGTTTTATTTATTTAAATTAGTCTTGTTATTATATATATATATATTTTCTGTCAGACAGATGTTGGTATAAACTTTAATACATATTGCTTCTTGAATTAAACATTTTTTTTTTATTACTGTTTTAAACTTTGCTACTTTTTAATTTTAGTAACAATCACTTATTGTTACTTGGCGCCCAATATATAAGTAAAGGTAAGTAACCCTTTAATAAACTGCCAATCCCAGACCCTGAAAGACTGAGCTGGTCAGGTTTATAACGATATCGGTCTATTTGTACGTTATAAATTTGGCGCCCAACGTTTATTTTAGGGTTACACCTTATTATTTTCAGTTTTATTTGTTTTAGTTCTATTAGCGTTTTATATATTTTAATTATTTTTTGTTGCCATATAAATATTTTTGGAAAGTTGCTGTGCAACCTCCACCCTTTATTTTTTTTTGAAGGGGGTGATTTTGAATTGAATTGAATATTTGATATTTTTTATTTTTTTTTGTTGTTGTTTATTCTCACAATTACACTATAATTTGTTGGACATAAACATTATAATATATTAGATGTAAACAACTTAAAATTAAATTAGTTTTTTTTAGTTATTTTAAAATATTTCGTTATAAACCAACAAAAAAAAAACTTGTAAACAAGATAAATAATATAATAGTAGTATTTTGTTTATGTTTTAAAATATTAAGTATTAGAAAACATATTTCATTTATTACTTTTTGCCACGACGCCACCGTCGCACGTCAAAAGCGTCACGACGCCAGGCGTCGAAAATTAGTTTTTGATATTATTGAGTAGCTATTGCAGTTAAGAAGCACATAAAGTTTCTTTTAGGTGTTTTTTCATTATTGTGATTTTGCTTTTAATAGTTATTGGTAAGAATGTCAGGCAAATTTGAAATTAATAGGTTAAAACAAGATGAACTTAATTATGAAATAACCATTCGTGGTCTGAAAATCGGTACGGTGAGCGAAATGAGAAAAGCGTTGGCAAGAGCGATTAAACTTGAGAAAGAGGGAAGCTCTCTTACTTATCCCGCGCATCCCTACACTTTTGAACAAGACAAGGAGGCAATAACAAATAAAATTAATGATATCGAAACAAGCCTTGAAGATTTCTCGAAAACAAAGGAGAGTAGAACATTTAAAAGCCTAAATTCTAAAATCCAACATTTAATAGGGAGAATTAACCGGATCGCTATAAAGGAAGAAACCTCGGAGTTCAGATCAGAATCACTAAATAAAGCCCTAGGATTATTAGACGACCTAGAAGAGCGAGCAGATGGCAAATTAAATAATACTCCAGCGGAACTAAGTGTTTTGGTAGAAGATTCAAGTGAATCGAGCTCAGAAGAGGACCTTCTTAATGTAACTACGCATACCAACGTCACCACGGCCACCACCAGTTTAGCCCATTTAAGACCAGCGAATCTATCCAAATGGAACCTAACCTTCACCGGAGATAGAAAAGGATCTTCATTAAACGCATTTTTGGAACGCGTCGATGAGTTATGTTTGGCGAGAAAAGTAAGCAAAGAAGAATTATTTCATGCAGCTATTGATTTGTTTTCTGGAAAGGCCTTAGTGTGGTTCCGAGCAGTTAGATCAACGGTAAATAATTGGAGCGAATTGGTAAAGGAACTGAGAGAAGAGTTCTTACCCCACCACAATAATCAACTTCTTTTGGAGGAGATCAAGAAGAGAACTCAGAGTTCGGACGAGTCGATAGGCATTTATCTGTCAGTAATGCAGTCTTTATTTAATAGATTGACCTGTAAGATATCCGAAAAAGCAAAGGTGGATATAATTAAAGGAAACATTCTTCCATTTTACCAGACTCAGCTAGCTTTGGTAGAGGTAACAACTGTGGATCAACTGAGGAAATTATGCCGACAGCTTGAGCATACTAGAGATTCGGTAGAATCTTTTGCACCTCCACCAAGGAGGTCAATTCACACCTTGGAACCAGACCTTGCGATTGTTGATGCTGATGTTCATGAAGTTGATACCCCTCGGTCTACAGAAACAGGAAGGATGATCTGTTTTAACTGCAATAAGCCGGGACATAGAGCGATTGGATGTGCTGAACCGAGGAAAAAATACTGTTATAGATGTAAGTTGCCAAATGTGACAGTTAGGACTTGCACCAACTGCAACAAATATGAGGATAGGCGTTCGGGAAATGGCAGAGGTCGCCACTAGTGGGTCGTAACCGGCAGACCGATGATTATTTCCGGCCTATAATTGATTTTATATTGGAAAATCTTAATAATGATGAACGTCCCTACTTGCGAGTTGAAATATTTGGCAAGGAGTTATGTGGACTATTGGATTCGGGAGCATCTAGAACATTTATTGGTGGTCCAGGTTGGCAAATATTGGAAAATTTTGGAATCATTTTGGACTCTACTAAAGTTATAAATGTTTCAGTAGCAAATGGGCAAAAATGTCAGTCTATTGGGTCATGTTTAGTACCAGTTACTCTGAAGGGACAATCGAAATTAATGGAGCTTTTAGTGGTGCCTGACCTATCTCATATTCTTATATTAGGGGCGGACTTTTGGAGAATAATGGGAATTGTTCCCGACCTCAGGAGCAAAGAGTGGTACTTTTCCAAGAATACTGAGTGTGTTGAAGTACAGGTTACTACTCAAGGAGATAGTGTGCTTAGTCCGGACCAATTAAGTCAATTGGAGGAAGTCGTGCAACGGAACTACGAGTCAATGGGCAATCAATTAGGGTGTACCAGAGAAGCGGAACACGTTATCATAACCGCGTCGGAACCCATCAAACAACGGTACTATCCTGTTTCGCCCGTAATCCAAAAATATATGCATGATGAACTGGACGATATGTTAAATAAAGGAATTGTTAGGAAGAGTAAAAGTCCTTGGTCTTCGCCAGTCATAATGGTAAAAAAGAAAGACGGTACTTATCGATTTTGTATCGACTTTAGAAAGCTAAACAAAGTCACCGAGAAAGATAGTTATCCATTGCCTTATGTTAATCACACCCTGGATCAGTTAAAGGATGCAAAGTTTTTATCCTCTCTCGATGTAAAGTCGGCTTTTTTCCAAGTCCCTATGGCTGAATCTTCAAAGCCGTATACCGCTTTTACAGTTCCACATCGTGGACTATTCGAATTCAACCGAATGCCTTTTGGCCTTTCAACTTCGCCAGCTACGTGGCAGAGACTTATGGACAAAGTACTAGGGGATATGTCTCCAAATGTGTTCTGTTATTTAGATGATGTTGTCATAGTTACGCAAACGTTTGAGGATCATTTAAGGATACTAGAAGAGGTTTTCGAGAGGTTGAGGAAGGCCAATATAACTATTAGCAAGTCCAAGTGTCAGTATTGCAGGAAACAACTTAAGTATTTAGGCTATATTGTGGATAAGGAGGGATTACATGTGGATCCAGAGAAAGTTCAGGCCATGCTAAACTTACCACCTCCTAAGTCGATTAGTGAAGTCAGAGGTATAGTTGGAACTTTTGGGTGGTACCGAAGGTTTTTACCAAACTTTTCTACTGCTATTGCCCCCATTACTGCCCTTTTAAGCAAGAAAAATAAATTTATCTGGACAGAAAAATGCGATCAAGCTTTCAAGGAAATTAAGGAAAAATTAGTGACAGCTCCAGTTTTAAGTTGTCCAAATTATGGCTTACCTTTCGACGTACAGACAGACGCTTCTGGTTGGGGCATAGCGGCGGTTTTAACACAACCTCATCCATCTGGGGAAAAAGTGGTGGCATATTTAAGTAGATCTTTAACAGCGCAAGAGAGGAAATATTCGACAACAGAAAGGGAATGTCTGGCTGTAATATGGGCCCTCGAAAAACTAAGACCCTATCTAGAAGGTGTACCCAATGTAACCGTAATTACCGACCATTACTCGTTGGTGTGGCTTCATAATCTCCATGATGTCAACGGAAGGCTAGCCAGGTGGGCGTTGAGAATGCAGCAGTTTGATGTGAAAATTGTACACAGGAAAGGGAAAGAACATATAGTACCCGATACCTTATCCAGATCTGTACCGGTATTGGATTTTTTAGAGGTTTTAAGTAAGTCGGACAGATGGTTTGTGAATATGTGTAATAAAGTCAAGAAGGATCCTTTAAAATATCCAAATTGGAGATTTGCGGATGACTGTTTGTATAAGTATGTTAAGCCAGAATATTCAAATATGACATCGGACTGGGAAAACTGGAAGAAAGTAGTGCCCAAAGGACAACGTCTTCCGCTGTTGAAAAAATTTTATGAGGATGCCACGTCGGGACATGCAGGAGTTTTTAAAACATGCGCTAGGTTGTTCGAACAATATTACTGGCCAAAACTTAGAAGTGATGTAGCGAGATTTATTAAAAGTTGTACTACGTGTACACAGCATCGCACAGACAATAAGAAACCAGTGGGCTTCATGTTAAGCCACCCAAAAGTAACTCGTCCGTGGGAAATGATTTCATCCGACCTTATGGGACCTATAGTAAAGTCTAATCGTGGAAATAGCTATATTTTAGTTGTAACTGATTATTTTAGTAAATTTTCCCTGATGTTTCCTTTACGTACAGCTACCGGGAAAGTGATAGCCAAGAAGATAGAAGAAGAAGTATTTTTAATGTTTGGAGTTCCAAGAATTGCCATTAGCGATAATGGGCCGCAGTATCGCTCGAAAGAGTATTTAAATCTTTTAAAGGAATATAAAGTAACGCCAAAGTTCAATGCCGCCTATCATGCGCAGGCGAATCCCACCGAAAGGGTAAATCGTACCTTAAAATACATGTTAGCCACATACGTAACTGACAATCATCGGTTATGGGATGTAAATTTGCCAAAAATAGCCTGTGCAATTCGTACTGCAAAGAGTGAGACCACCCAACAGTCACCATATTTTATCAATTTCGGAAGATCAATGTTTCTATCGGGAATGGACTATCATCGGAAGGACCTATTTGAGGAGGGTAATGCCGGGGAAATGTTAAATAGAGGCGATGGATTTAAGCAAATTTTTGAGGATGTTAGCAAAAGAATACAACAAGCAGGAGAGAGAAACAAGAAGTACTATGATCTAAGGAGAAGGAGTGAGGAGTTTTGGGTTGGACAAGCGGTTTGGAAAAGGAATTACGTGTTGTCAGATGCTCAGAAATTCTATTCCAAAAAGCTAGCACCCAAGTTTGTTGGGCCATTCTTTATTAAGAAACGGGTTTCGCCATGGACATACGAGATTCAAGACGAGGCAGGTAGACTAAAAGGAACCTTCCACGCTAAAGACCTAAAAGCTCATCCGCCCGAATTTCAGGATAACTAATTTTTTTAAATTTTTTTTATTCAACTCTTTTTTTTGAAGAAAATAACGGGTTATTTTCTTAAAGTAAGGGGGGAATTTGTAACATTTAAATTTCAGTAATTAAATATTTTGAGAAAAAAATAAATATAATCTTGGGATTTTTAAAATTAAATAATAAATCAACCAGTTTGTTTGTAAATAGAGTTTATTTATTAAATTTATTTAAGTTATAAGTAAATATGTTTTTTTGCTGTGACGTCATACATTCTTTAAATTCCTTTGGAGTTGGTGAATTTTAACCTGAAAAGTAAAATTGTATCAATGGAAATTTTGCGTAAACAGGAAATATTACATTAATAGGCAGTAGTTGCCATTTGTCACTTTACCTACCTTTATATCGATGCTCCAATTCGATCGCTTGGCACGATGATTTTGATCGACAACAGTGTTCTCTAGGTTCCTGAAAATAATTAAAAGATGTACCTATTTCATTGTGATGGAAAATACTTAAATGTTTCCTTTTCAATTGATGCTTATTTCCAGTAATATTTTTAGTTATTGTTGGTTGATACTTACATGTTGTGGTTTAATTTGGTTTATTTACTGTCATTTGTTTTGCATAAAAATCACTGTGTTTTTTTGACGATTACAGTCCATAATGATTTATTTCCCTAAAAATTAATAACAACACAATATTTATCCATATTATGAATAATAGTTGGGTATTTGATTAGCGCAGTTAATTGAATCGTTTCTTATTGGTGCATTTTTGTAACCCAGGATATTTATTGGCTTATAATTTATTTCCTGTTAAGTATGGGTTCTTTTTCTTTGGAAATTAAAAGACTTAAGGCCGTTTTGTTTGATATTCTATGGTGGTAAAATTTGTGTGGTTTTTTTTTATTGTCTCATTTTTTAAAATATTTTAGATAATTAGTAAATTAAAATTTGTTTATGACAATATTCGCGCATGTCTAAAGAAGGTCAAGGAAGTCTTCTAGAAGGAAGTCAGTCTTTTGGTGAATCTTTATCGTTGTGCACATACTTGTTGGAATTTTTGAATTGAACCTTTTTGAAGGGATTTAAGTGCCACGATATTTTTATATAGGAAGAGAGTGTGTTGGATTTTGCAGTTGTGTTGATTTTCGATCTCGATTCCTACAGCGTTTGCTGGATTTTTCAAGATTACCAAAACTAACCACGTAGCCGTCCATCATCTAGGGTTACCAATTGAATTGCAGTTTTTTTTGCTTTGAAAGCCTAAAAGCTGATACCTACCATCGCAGTAAGTCATTTTATTTTTTCCTTTTTCCTTCAGTTCCGCTAATTATTTTATTTGTAGAAACAAGTTTGAAACTTTTCATTTGGAATTTATCTCAAAAGGAAAAAAACCCTTCATTGAAGGTATGTTGTATGTAAAGTTAAGGGTTGTTACTTAATAATATTTTTTTATAGGGTTTTTTTTTTGGGTTGTTTCCTCGAGTTCCTTTAAATTTTAATATTCTGGAAATTCATTGAAGAAATATATTTGGACGTTTTCTGGCAGGAAAATCTTGAGAGCCGCCGCCATCTTGTATTGAATTTACTTCGGGAATCTTCAGGTGCCGACACTTAAGGTCAGATCTATCCTGTTTTTGCTTTTATATAGTTTTTTTGTTATAACTTTGACATCAAATAGATCTGAAAATAAATTAATTTAAGTTTATCTTAAATAGTTACAATAGAATTATAATAATAATATTACTTACCTATTTTCCCTGTAAATCATTTATAGCTGGCCAGATATAAAAGAGTTTTATTTATTTAAATTAGTCTTGTTATTATATATATATATATTTTCTGTCAGACAGATGTTGGTATAAACTTTAATACATATTGCTTCTTGAATTAAACATTTTTTTTTATTACTGTTTTAAACTTTGCTACTTTTTAATTTTAGTAACAATCACTTATTGTTACTTGGCGCCCAATATATAAGTAAAGGTAAGTAACCCTTTAATAAACTGCCAATCCCAGACCCTGAAAGACTGAGCTGGTCAGGTTTATAACGATATCGGTCTATTTGTACGTTATACAATGAAGTAATAATAAATTTTTAAGTTTTTGTGTTTGTATTTTACAAAACAGCAATTTTAAATAATTTTTTCGTTTTTTAGGGAAAAATTTTTGAACCTCAATTTGGAAGATGAAGAAACAGGCTCCATTTTCGTATTCAAAGAGGAAGACTTCCTTCCTATATATATATATATATATATATAGTTGAAGGAGAGTTCAACATTAGGAACGCGTTTGAGGCGTACGCGTTTCTAGAAGACGATGAAAAGGCCTCAGAGGAAATAGCATTATCACGAGCAATTTTCAGCAAAGATATTGTTGTTTCTGAAGTCAAGAGGCTTCTCAAGGAAAATTTTGGAGAAATCCAAATATCTTTAGTGGGTAAGTGAATCTTAAATCGATTAAATAAACCCAACCGTTAATATTAAGCACACCAATTAATAAATTTTATTTTTCTTTCAGTACCTAGGCCTCAACGCAAACGTTTGAGCCCTTACAACGAGCACGCGGCCGTGGCCGCGCCAGGGCCCTGCAGGGGTCGCCACACAAGTGGATGGGGTACACGGCCCTATCCATTTATTGAACGTGGACGTGGACGGGGACGTGGACGTCCCAATAAAGTAATAATAAATTTTTAAGTTTTTGTGTTTGTATTTTACAAAACAGCAATTTTAAATAATTTTTTCGTTTTTTAGGGAAAAATTTGTTCACCTAAGTTTGGACGATGAAGATATAGGGTCAATTCATATATTCAAACAAAATGATTACGTTATTTATATATATGTCGTTGAAGGGGGGGAATACAATATTAGGGACGCGTTTGAGGCCTACGCATTTCTTGATGACGACGAAGAGGCCTCAGAAGAATTATACATCTCCAGATCAATTTTTAACAATGAGATTAAAGTACCCGAAATAAAAAAGCTATTGGAAAGCAATTTCGGAGACCAAATCCAAATCTCGTTAGTGGGTAAGTGAATCTTAAATCGATTAAATAAACCCAACCGTTAATATTAAGCACACCAATTAATAAATTTTATTTTTCTTTCAGTACCTAGGCCTCAAACGCAAACGTTTGAGCCCTTACAACGAGCACGCGGCCGTGGCCGCGCCAGGGCCCTGCAGGGGTCGCCACACAAGTGGATGGGGTACACGGCCCTATCCATTTATTGAACGTGGACGTGGACGTCCCAATAAAGTAATAATAAATTTTTAAGTTTTTGTGTTTGTATTTTACAAAACAGCATTTTTAAATAATTTTTTCGTTTTTTAGGGAAAAATTTGTTCACCTAAGTTTGGACGATGAAGATATAGGGTCAATTCATATATTCAAACAAAATGATTACGTTATTTATATATACGCGTTGAAGGGGGGAATACAATATTAGGGACGCGTTTGAGGCCTACGCATTTCTTGATGACGACGATGAGGCCTCAGAAGAATTATACATCTCCAGATCAATTTTCAACAATGAGATTAAAGTACCCGAAATAAAAAAGCTATTGGAAAGCAATTTCGAAGACCAAATCCAAATCTCGTTAGTGGGTAAGTGAATCTTAAATCGATTAAATAAACCCAACCGTTAATATTAAGCACACCAATTAATAAATTTTATTTTTCTTTCAGTACCTAGGCCTCAAACGCAAACGTTTGAGCCCTTACAACGAGCACGCGGCCGTGGCCGCGCCAGGGCCCTGCAGGGGTCGCCACACAAGTGGATGGGGTACACGGCCCTATCCATTTATTGAACGTGGACGTGGACGTCCCAATAAAGTAATAATAAATTTTTAAGTTTTTGTGTTTGTATTTTACAAAACAGCAATTTTAAATAATTTTTTCGTTTTTTAGGGAAAAATTTGTTCACCTAAGTTTGGACGATGAAGATATAGGGTCAATTCATATATTCAAACAAAATGATTACGTTATTTATATATATGTCGTTGAAGGGGGGGAATACAATATTAGGGACGCGTTTGAGGCCTACGCATTTCTTGATGACGACGAAGAGGCCTCAGAAGAATTATACATCTCCAGATCAATTTTTAACAATGAGATTAAAGTACCCGAAATAAAAAAGCTATTGGAAAGCAATTTCGGAGACCAAATCCAAATCTCGTTAGTGGGTAAGTGAATCTTAAATCGATTAAATAAACCCAACCGTTAATATTAAGCACACCAATTAATAAATTTTATTTTTCTTTCAGTACCTAGGCCTCAAACGCAAACGTTTGAGCCCTTACAACGAGCACGCGGCCGTGGCCGCGCCAGGGCCCTGCAGGGGTCGCCACACAAGTGGATGGGGTACACGGCCCTATCCATTTATTGAACGTGGACGTGGACGGGGACGTGGACGTCCCAATGAAGTAATAATAAATTTTTAAGTTTTTGTGTTTGTATTTTACAAAACAGCAATTTTAAATAATTTTTTCGTTTTTTAGGGAAAAATTTTTGAACCTCAATTTGGAAGATGAAGAAACAGGCTCCATTTTCGTATTCAAAGAGGAAGACTTCCTTCCTATATATATATATATATATATATATATATATATATAGTTGAAGGAGAGTTCAACATTAGGAACGCGTTTGAGGCGTACGCGTTTCTAGAAGACGATGAAAAGGCCTCAGAGGAAATAGCATTATCACGAGCAATTTTCAGCAAAGATATTGTTGTTTCTGAAGTCAAGAGGCTTCTCAAGGAAAATTTTGGAGAAATCCAAATATCTTTAGTGGGTAAGTGAATCTTAAATCGATTAAATAAACCCAACCGTTAATATTAAGCACACCAATTAATAAATTTTATTTTTCTTTCAGTACCTAGGCCTCAACGCAAACGTTTGAGCCCTTACAACGAGCACGCGGCCGTGGCCGCGCCAGGGCCCTGCAGGGGTCGCCACACAAGTGGATGGGGTACACGGCCCTATCCATTTATTGAACGTGGACGTGGACGGGGACGTGGACGTCCCAATAAAGTAATAATAAATTTTTAAGTTTTTGTGTTTGTATTTTACAAAACAGCAATTTTAAATAATTTTTTCGTTTTTTAGGGAAAAATTTGTTCACCTAAGTTTGGACGATATATATAGTTGAAGGAGAGTTCAACATTAGGAACGCGTTTGAGGCGTACGCGTTTCTAGAAGACGATGAAAAGGCCTCAGAGGAAATAGCATTATCACGAGCAATTTTCAGCAAAGATATTGTTGTTTCTGAAGTCAAGAGGCTTCTCAAGGAAAATTTTGGAGAAATCCAAATATCTTTAGTGGGTAAGTGAATCTTAAATCGATTAAATAAACCCAACCGTTAATATTAAGCACACCAATTAATAAATTTTATTTTTCTTTCAGTACCTAGGCCTCAACGCAAACGTTTGAGCCCTTACAACGAGCACGCGGCCGTGGCCGCGCCAGGGCCCTGCAGGGGTCGCCACACAAGTGGATGGGGTACACGGCCCTATCCATTTATTGAACGTGGACGTGGACGGGGACGTGGACGTCCCAATAAAGTAATAATAAATTTTTAAGTTTTTGTGTTTGTATTTTACAAAACAGCAATTTTAAATAATTTTTTCGTTTTTTAGGGAAAAATTTGTTCACCTAAGTTTGGACGATGAAGATATAGGGTCAATTCATATATTCAAACAAAATGATTACGTTATTTATATATATGTCGTTGAAGGGGGGGAATACAATATTAGGGACGCGTTTGAGGCCTACGCATTTCTTGATGACGACGAAGAGGCCTCAGAAGAATTATACATCTCCAGATCAATTTTTAACAATGAGATTAAAGTACCCGAAATAAAAAAGCTATTGGAAAGCAATTTCGGAGACCAAATCCAAATCTCGTTAGTGGGTAAGTGAATCTTAAATCGATTAAATAAACCCAACCGTTAATATTAAGCACACCAATTAATAAATTTTATTTTTCTTTCAGTACCTAGGCCTCAAACGCAAACGTTTGAGCCCTTACAACGAGCACGCGGCCGTGGCCGCGCCAGGGCCCTGCAGGGGTCGCCACACAAGTGGATGGGGTACACGGCCCTATCCATTTATTGAACGTGGACGTGGACGTCCCAATAAAGTAATAATAAATTTTTAAGTTTTTGTGTTTGTATTTTACAAAACAGCATTTTTAAATAATTTTTTCGTTTTTTAGGGAAAAATTTGTTCACCTAAGTTTGGACGATGAAGATATAGGGTCAATTCATATATTCAAACAAAATGATTACGTTATTTATATATACGCGTTGAAGGGGGGAATACAATATTAGGGACGCGTTTGAGGCCTACGCATTTCTTGATGACGACGATAAGGCCTCAGAAGAATTATACATCTCCAGATCAATTTTCAACAATGAGATTAAAGTACCCGAAATAAAAAAGCTATTGGAAAGCAATTTCGAAGACCAAATCCAAATCTCGTTAGTGGGTAAGTGAATCTTAAATCGATTAAATAAACCCAACCGTTAATATTAAGCACACCAATTAATAAATTTTATTTTTCTTTCAGTACCTAGGCCTCAAACGCAAACGTTTGAGCCCTTACAACGAGCACGCGGCCGTGGCCGCGCCAGGGCCCTGCAGGGGTCGCCACACAAGTGGATGGGGTACACGGCCCTATCCATTTATTGAACGTGGACGTGGACGGGGACGTGGACGTCCCAATAAAGTAATAATAAATTTTTAAGTTTTTGTGTTTGTATTTTACAAAACAGCAATTTTAAATAATTTTTTCGTTTTTTAGGGAAAAATTTGTTCACCTAAGTTTGGACGATGAAGATATAGGGTCAATTCATATATTCAAACAAAATGATTACGTTATTTATATATATGTCGTTGAAGGGGGGGAATACAATATTAGGGACGCGTTTGAGGCCTACGCATTTCTTGATGACGACGAAGAGGCCTCAGAAGAATTATACATCTCCAGATCAATTTTTAACAATGAGATTAAAGTACCCGAAATAAAAAAGCTATTGGAAAGCAATTTCGGAGACCAAATCCAAATCTCGTTAGTGGGTAAGTGAATCTTAAATCGATTAAATAAACCCAACCGTTAATATTAAGCACACCAATTAATAAATTTTATTTTTCTTTCAGTACCTAGGCCTCAAACGCAAACGTTTGAGCCCTTACAACGAGCACGCGGCCGTGGCCGCGCCAGGGCCCTGCAGGGGTCGCCACACAAGTGGATGGGGTACACGGCCCTATCCATTTATTGAACGTGGACGTGGACGGGGACGTGGACGTCCCAATGAAGTAATAATAAATTTTTAAGTTTTTGTGTTTGTATTTTACAAAACAGCAATTTTAAATAATTTTTTCGTTTTTTAGGGAAAAATTTTTGAACCTCAATTTGGAAGATGAAGAAACAGGCTCCATTTTCGTATTCAAAGAGGAAGACTTCCTTCCTATATATATATATATATATATATATATATATATATAGTTGAAGGAGAGTTCAACATTAGGAACGCGTTTGAGGCGTACGCGTTTCTAGAAGACGATGAAAAGGCCTCAGAGGAAATAGCATTATCACGAGCAATTTTCAGCAAAGATATTGTTGTTTCTGAAGTCAAGAGGCTTCTCAAGGAAAATTTTGGAGAAATCCAAATATCTTTAGTGGGTAAGTGAATCTTAAATCGATTAAATAAACCCAACCGTTAATATTAAGCACACCAATTAATAAATTTTATTTTTCTTTCAGTACCTAGGCCTCAAACGCAAACGTTTGAGCCCTTACAACGAGCACGCGGCCGTGGCCGCGCCAGGGCCCTGCAGGGGTCGCCACACAAGTGGATGGGGTACACGGCCCTATCCATTTATTGAACGTGGACGTGGACGTCCCAATAAAGTAATAATAAATTTTTAAGTTTTTGTGTTTGTATTTTACAAAACAGCATTTTTAAATAATTTTTTCGTTTTTTAGGGAAAAATTTGTTCACCTAATTTGGACGATGAAGATATAGGGTCAATTCATATATTCAAACAAAATGATTACGTTATTTATATATACGCGTTGAAGGGGGGAATATAATATTAGGGACGCGTTTGAGGCCTACGCATTTCTTGATGACGACGATGAGGCCTCAGAAGAATTATACATCTCCAGATCAATTTTCAACAATGAGATTAAAGTACCCGAAATAAAAAAGCTATTGGAAAGCAATTTCGAAGACCAAATCCAAATCTCGTTAGTGGGTAAGTGAATCTTAAATCGATTAAATAAACCCAACCGTTAATATTAAGCACACCAATTAATAAATTTTATTTTTCTTTCAGTACCTAGGCCTCAAACGCAAACGTTTGAGCCCTTACAACGAGCACGCGGCCGTGGCCGCGCCAGGGCCCTGCAGGGGTCGCCACACAAGTGGATGGGGTACACGGCCCTATCCATTTATTGAACGTGGACGTGGACGGGGACGTGGACGTCCCAATAAAGTAATAATAAATTTTTAAGTTTTTGTGTTTGTATTTTACAAAACAGCAATTTTAAATAATTTTTTCGTTTTTTAGGGAAAAATTTGTTCACCTAAGTTTGGACGATGAAGATATAGGGTCAATTCATATATTCAAACAAAATGATTACGTTATTTATATATATGTCGTTGAAGGGGGGGAATACAATATTAGGGACGCGTTTGAGGCCTACGCATTTCTTGATGACGACGAAGAGGCCTCAGAAGAATTATACATCTCCAGATCAATTTTTAACAATGAGATTAAAGTACCCGAAATAAAAAAGCTATTGGAAAGCAATTTCGGAGACCAAATCCAAATCTCGTTAGTGGGTAAGTGAATCTTAAATCGATTAAATAAACCCAACCGTTAATATTAAGCACACCAATTAATAAATTTTATTTTTCTTTCAGTACCTAGGCCTCAAACGCAAACGTTTGAGCCCTTACAACGAGCACGCGGCCGTGGCCGCGCCAGGGCCCTGCAGGGGTCGCCACACAAGTGGATGGGGTACACGGCCCTATCCATTTATTGAACGTGGACGTGGACGGGGACGTGGACGTCCCAATGAAGTAATAATAAATTTTTAAGTTTTTGTGTTTGTATTTTACAAAACAGCAATTTTAAATAATTTTTTCGTTTTTTAGGGAAAAATTTTTGAACCTCAATTTGGAAGATGAAGAAACAGGCTCCATTTTCGTATTCAAAGAGGAAGACTTCCTTCCTATATATATATATATATATATATATATAGTTGAAGGAGAGTTCAACATTAGGAACGCGTTTGAGGCGTACGTGTTTCTAGAAGACGATGAAAAGGCCTCAGAGGAAATAGCATTATCACGAGCAATTTTCAGCAAAGATATTGTTGTTTCTGAAGTCAAGAGGCTTCTCAAGGAAAATTTTGGAGAAATCCAAATATCTTTAGTGGGTAAGTGAATCTTAAATCGATTAAATAAACCCAACCGTTAATATTAAGCACACCAATTAATAAATTTTATTTTTCTTTCAGTACCTAGGCCTCAACGCAAACGTTTGAGCCCTTACAACGAGCACGCGGCCGTGGCCGCGCCAGGGCCCTGCAGGGGTCGCCACACAAGTGGATGGGGTACACGGCCCTATCCATTTATTGAACGTGGACGTGGACGGGGACGTGGACGTCCCAATAAAGTAATAATAAATTTTTAAGTTTTTGTGTTTGTATTTTACAAAACAGCAATTTTAAATAATTTTTTCGTTTTTTAGGGAAAAATTTGTTCACCTAAGTTTGGACGATGAAGATATAGGGTCAATTCATATATTCAAACAAAATGATTACGTTATTTATATATATGTCGTTGAAGGGGGGGAATACAATATTAGGGACGCGTTTGAGGCCTACGCATTTCTTGATGACGACGAAGAGGCCTCAGAAGAATTATACATCTCCAGATCAATTTTTAACAATGAGATTAAAGTACCCGAAATAAAAAAGCTATTGGAAAGCAATTTCGGAGACCAAATCCAAATCTCGTTAGTGGGTAAGTGAATCTTAAATCGATTAAATAAACCCAACCGTTAATATTAAGCACACCAATTAATAAATTTTATTTTTCTTTCAGTACCTAGGCCTCAAACGCAAACGTTTGAGCCCTTACAACGAGCACGCGGCCGTGGCCGCGCCAGGGCCCTGCAGGGGTCGCCACACAAGTGGATGGGGTACACGGCCCTATCCATTTATTGAACGTGGACGTGGACGTCCCAATAAAGTAATAATAAATTTTTAAGTTTTTGTGTTTGTATTTTACAAAACAGCAATTTTAAATAATTTTTTCGTTTTTTAGGGAAAAATTTGTTCACCTAAGTTTGGACGATGAAGATATAGGGTCAATTCATATATTCAAACAAAATGATTACGTTATTTATATATATGTCGTTGAAGGGGGGGAATACAATATTAGGGACGCGTTTGAGGCCTACGCATTTCTTGATGACGACGAAGAGGCCTCAGAAGAATTATACATCTCCAGATCAATTTTTAACAATGAGATTAAAGTACCCGAAATAAAAAAGCTATTGGAAAGCAATTTCGGAGACCAAATCCAAATCTCGTTAGTGGGTAAGTGAATCTTAAATCGATTAAATAAACCCAACCGTTAATATTAAGCACACCAATTAATAAATTTTATTTTTCTTTCAGTACCTAGGCCTCAAACGCAAACGTTTGAGCCCTTACAACGAGCACGCGGCCGTGGCCGCGCCAGGGCCCTGCAGGGGTCGCCACACAAGTGGATGGGGTACACGGCCCTATCCATTTATTGAACGTGGACGTGGACGGGGACGTGGACGTCCCAATGAAGTAATAATAAATTTTTAAGTTTTTGTGTTTGTATTTTACAAAACAGCAATTTTAAATCATTTTTTCGTTTTTTAGGGAAAAATTTTTGAACCTCAATTTGGAAGATGAAGAAACAGGCTCCATTTTCGTATTCAAAGAGGAAGACTTCCTTCCTATATATATATATTGTAGGGTGGTGACCCACCCTTAGTATTCTCTGAAAAATGTCACTTGTCTTGACGAATTCTATACTTGTCTTACTTATATTTTTGTAATATTAAAATATCCCTAATTGAATATTATTATTTAATTACAATTTTAGGCTTTTACTTATAGGCAACTGCTTGTACAGCTGTGTATTTTTGGTATTATAATAATGATTATAATACCAAAAATACACAGCTGTACAAGCAGTTGCCTATAAGTAAAAGCCTAAAATTGTAATTAAATAATAATATTCAATTAGGGATATTTTAATATTACAAAAATATAAGTAAGACAAGTATAGAATTCGTCAAGACAAGTGACATTTTTCAGAGAATACTAAGGGTGGGTCACCACCCTACAGACGTCCCCAAGCGTTTGTGATGAGAAGTGAGGTTCGAAACCAGAAACGCTTTTTTTATTCAAAATCGTTGAAAAATGTCAATAAGAAATTTTTGCGGCTCCCCGGGATATTCGAAGCCAGAACACTTGTTCCTTTATTTTTTTAGTTGGATTAAAATGCCCAAAATATTATCATCAATATCCTTAGAATTTCTAGAAACTTACAAGAAAGAGTCAGGTCGTCGAGTTAATTCTAACGGACTAGGTATTACCAACTGATCTTTATTTTGTATAGAAGACACGTCCCCACTCTGGTTAAGTATGGGCCAACCTCAAACATATTTTGTACTGATCTGTTCTATATTTAATGGTGAGAAAGTTTGAAGAATTGAGGTTTTCAGAGAATTTTCTACATTAGACGATGTTTCACGAACAGCAGGTACAAAAGAAATTGGTTTAGGTAAGAGGTTTTTATTTAAAGACTAGGAAACACATTAGAATTTGGCTTGGTCGGTTTATTAAAAGAACCAGATGAACGGTTGAAAGAGTTTTTAAATCAGAACGGCCAACATGTTTTCTGTTAAAATTATGTGCGGGCTAAGGCACTGCTTTATAATTTGGTTTTCCCGTGTTATGGGAATCATTTAGATGATTTCTATCTAAATTTAAAAAGTTAGAAAAATTCCGATTCTTAGGAAAAGGGTTCGAAAAATTTTCATCCTGGAAATTTGGATTGTGAAAAGTATTACATTTTGTAAATCCATTTGAAACTATATGGAAAACTGGAGGTGTACGAGTAAAATTTTGTTTAAAAAAATGTCTGCCAAAGACTCTACTAATGTTTGCATAGTTTCATTTTTAAGAAGATTGAAAATGGGTTTTGTTATTACTCACAACTACCGGATCTGATTAAAATTCTGTTCGCAGTATGGGCGTTGACATTTTCTAACGCCTGTTAAATTTGCGGTCGTAACTGGTTGAGACTGGTTGGAAGATTGCGTCAACGAAGTGGCTCGATGATAGATGTCAACCAAGTTAAATTGATGAAGTTCTCCATGATTTCCATTGGATACTTCATTTGTACTGGGCAAACCCAAAGATTGAGCCATATCTCTCACAAGTCTTGACATCACGTTGTCGGATTCTGGAACGCCTCCAACAGGTAGTTTCTTTGGGGACACGTTTCCTATCCATTTTGGGAACCTGTATAATAGAAAACCAAACGAGTATCTCTCTTTTTTTTTTTTAAACATTGCATATCTACAAATTTTATGCAAACTATAAGATAAGCAATTAAAAGTCAAGCAACTAAAATTTAATCAATTCCATCACAAGAAAGTATGATTTTTAAAACCTTGTCCTTCGCACTAGCGACAATCTGTACCGTCTATACGGTATTTAAAAAAAAATCAAGAGTATATCTTTAGAATCCCGTTGTTACTCCAATCTGCACCGCAACCAAGGACAAACCAAACAAGCTCGGCAAAATTCTCGACAACGACACCGTGCACTGTGCCGAAATCAATCAAAAGCAAACAAGTCTGTCATATCCTGGTCACGGCACCAATCTGTAAGGTGGAGACCCCTGCCTCATCGTTTAATGAAAAAGGGTAATACAAAAAAATAATATTAATATAAGGTTTAATTTAATTGGCCAAATAGCTGTAATCGTCTCGTTGTGAAATGTTTAACTAAAAACCTACATAGTAACTACAGTTCTTTTTCAAGGTATCATACTTACTTATTGTCAGGAATTGTTTAAATAAAACACTAGCATGCTCATTTTATGACTTATTTATTTATAAGATCAGAGGTGCCACTATTTCTCTGTGGTTTAAAAACCCGGTAAAACGTTGAGTAAAGAGTTAATTAATTTCATTTGTAATCTTGTCAATATTGTACACTTGTATGAACATATAAGTAATTTTGAATATTTCTTTGGTCCAGTACTTAAATAAATTATTTTACTACAACTCAATCAATGCTCGAAACAAGATCTAAATGTCTGCAATTCGCGTAGTTAAAATAAGGTTAGGATTATGGTCAATCCAAGGAGACCCTGATCCAAAACATAATAGTATTCAAAATCATTCCAATTATACCGTGTCGTATTCGCGTAGTTAAAGTAAGGTTAGGATTATGGTCAATCCAAGGAGACCCTGATCCAAAACATAATAGTATTCAAAATCATTCCAATTATACCGTGCCGTATTCGCGTAGTTAAAGTAAGGTTAGGATTATGGTCAATCCAAGGAGACCCTGATCCAAAACATAATAGTAGTCAAAATCATTCCAATTATACCGTGCCGTATTCGCGTAGTTAAAGTGAGGTTAGGATTATGGTCAATCCAAGGAGACCCTGATCCAAAACATAATAGTAGTCAAAATCATTCCAATTATACCGTGCCGTATTCGCGTAGTTAAAGTGAGGTTAGGATTATGGTCAATCCAAGGAGACCCTGATCCAAAACATAATAGTAGTCAAAATCATTCCAATTATACCGTGCCGTATTCGCGTAGTTAAAGTAAGGTTAGGATTATGGTCAATCCAAGGAGACCCTGATCCAAAACATAATAGTAGTCAAAATCATTCCAATTATACCGTGCCGTATTCGCGTAGTTAAAGTAAGGTTAGGATTATGGTCAATCCAAGGAGACCCTGATCCAAAACATAATAGTAGTCAAAATCATTCCAATTATACCGTGCCGTATTCGCGTAGTTAAAGTAAGGTTAGGATTATGGTCAATCCAAGGAGACCCTGATCCAAAACATAATAGTAGTCAAAATCATTCCAATTATACCGTGCCGTATTCGCGTAGTTAAAGTGAGGTTAGGATTATGGTCAATCCAAGGAGACCCTGATCCAAAACATAATAGTAGTCAAAATCATTCCAATTATACCGTGCCGTATTCGCGTAGTTAAAGTGAGGTTAGGATTATGGTCAATCCAAGGAGACCCTGATCCAAAACATAATAGTAGTCAAAATCATTCCAATTATACCGTGCCGTATTCGCGTAGTTAAAGTGAGGTTAGGATTATGGTCAATCCAAGGAGACCCTGATCCAAAACATAATAGTAGTCAAAATCATTCCAATTATACCGTGCCGTATTCGCGTAGTTAAAGTAAGGTTAGGATTATGGTCAATCCAAGGAGACCCTGATCCAAAACATAATAGTAGTCAAAATCATTCCAATTATACCGTGCCGTATTCGCGTAGTTAAAGTAAGGTTAGGATTATGGTCAATCCAAGGAGACCCTGATCCAAATCCCATTATTAGTCAAAATCATTACAATTATAACGTGCAGGTAGAGTGGGCAACCAAGAATATATATTGAGACCCTGAACCTCGTCGATAAAAATAACGACGGTGTTAACAACTTATTGTGTGTAAAGCCATTTAGGCAAGTTTGTAAACCATTTCGGTAATAATATTGTTGTATTTACCCTTTAGGTAATATACTTTTAATTGTGACACAGGTGACACATTTATTATTGTGCCATTTAGGCGACATATTTGTTATTGTGCCATTTAGGCGATATATTTGTTATTGTGCCATTTAGGCGACATATTTATTATTGTGCCATTTAGGCGATATATTTGTTTGTTGTGCCATTTAGGCGATATATTTGTTATTGTGCCATTTAGGCGACATATTTATTTGTTGTAACTTTTTATATTTAATCCTCAAGGAGCATGGTCAAATCATATACATAAATCAAGGGACCTTAAACCCTAATAATAAATAGTGTTATTTTTCACTTGTCTCGATAAGTCAATTGAAAACACAGATATTAATCAAACTGTAAAACTGGACCAATCACAATAATAATACTAAATGTAATATTGATACAAATTTAGTTTAAGAGTGTGTAATTTAATAATTTCATAATAACGTTTAACATTATGTATTCTAATAATTTGTAATATTTGTAAACGTATGTTTATTATAGTATTTAAAATATAAATCAAATTTTAATTCAATGTTTTTCTAAATAATAAATAATTGAGAAAAATAGGCATTTGTTTGAGGTACGTGACTACAAGCATTGCGTAATGGCAGCCGTTGTAGAAATTAAAACATGTAAATCAATCATTTACAACAAAATATGTATTATAAATAATATCAGACTAACCTGTATATTCTTCTAATATGAAAGAACCACAATGTACGAAGATTACCATATTCTTTTAGAATATGGTAATCTTCGTACATTGTGGTTCTTTCATATTAGAAGAATATACAGGTTAGTCTGATATTATTTATAATACATATTTTGTTGTAAATGATTGATTTACATGTTTTAATTTCTACAACGGCTGCCATTACGCAATGCTTGTAGTCACGTACCTCAAACAAATGCCTATTTTTCTCAATTATTTATTATTTAGAAAAACATTGAATTAAAATTTGATTTATATTTTAAATACTATAATAAACATACGTTTACAAATATTACAAATTATTAGAATACATAATGTTAAACGTTATTATGAAATTATTAAATTACACACTCTTAAACTAAATTTGTATCAATATTACATTTAGTATTATTATTGTGATTGGTCCAGTTTTACAGTTTGATTAATATCTGTGTTTTCAATTGACTTATCGAGACAAGTGAAAAATAACACTATTTATTATTAGGGTTTAAGGTCCCTTGATTTATGTATATGATTTGACCATGCTCCTTGAGGATTAAATATAAAAAGTTACAACAAATAAATATGTCGCCTAAATGGCACAATAACAAATATATCGCCTAAATGGCACAACAAACAAATATATCGCCTAAATGGCACAATAATAAATATGTCGCCTAAATGGCACAATAACAAATATATCGCCTAAATGGCACAATAACAAATATGTCGCCTAAATGGCACAATAATAAATGTGTCACCTGTGTCACAATTAAAAGTATATTACCTAAAGGGTAAATACAACAATATTATTACCGAAATGGTTTACAAACTTGCCTAAATGGCTTTACACACAATAAGTTGTTAACACCGTCGTTATTTTTATCGACGAGGTTCAGGGTCTCAATATATATTCTTGGTTGCCCACTCTACCTGCACGTTATAATTGTAATGATTTTGACTAATAATGGGATTTGGATCAGGGTCTCCTTGGATTGACCATAATCCTAACCTTACTTTAACTACGCGAATACGGCACGGTATAATTGGAATGATTTTGACTACTATTATGTTTTGGATCAGGGTCTCCTTGGATTGACCATAATCCTAACCTTACTTTAACTACGCGAATACGGCACGGTATAATTGGAATGATTTTGACTACTATTATGTTTTGGATCAGGGTCTCCTTGGATTGACCATAATCCTAACCTCACTTTAACTACGCGAATACGGCACGGTATAATTGGAATGATTTTGACTACTATTATGTTTTGGATCAGGGTCTCCTTGGATTGACCATAATCCTAACCTCACTTTAACTACGCGAATACGGCACGGTATAATTGGAATGATTTTGACTACTATTATGTTTTGGATCAGGGTCTCCTTGGATTGACCATAATCCTAACCTCACTTTAACTACGCGAATACGGCACGGTATAATTGGAATGATTTTGACTACTATTATGTTTTGGATCAGGGTCTCCTTGGATTGACCATAATCCTAACCTTACTTTAACTACGCGAATACGGCACGGTATAATTGGAATGATTTTGACTACTATTATGTTTTGGATCAGGGTCTCCTTGGATTGACCATAATCCTAACCTTACTTTAACTACGCGAATACGGCACGGTATAATTGGAATGATTTTGACTACTATTATGTTTTGGATCAGGGTCTCCTTGGATTGACCATAATCCTAACCTTACTTTAACTACGCGAATACGGCACGGTATAATTGGAATGATTTTGACTACTATTATGTTTTGGATCAGGGTCTCCTTGGATTGACCATAATCCTAACCTCACTTTAACTACGCGAATACGGCACGGTATAATTGGAATGATTTTGACTACTATTATGTTTTGGATCAGGGTCTCCTTGGATTGACCATAATCCTAACCTCACTTTAACTACGCGAATACGGCACGGTATAATTGGAATGATTTTGACTACTATTATGTTTTGGATCAGGGTCTCCTTGGATTGACCATAATCCTAACCTTACTTTAACTACGCGAATACGGCACGGTATAATTGGAATGATTTTGAATACTATTATGTTTTGGATCAGGGTCTCCTTGGATTGACCATAATCCTAACCTTACTTTAACTACGCGAATACGACACGGTATAATTGGAATGATTTTGAATACTATTATGTTTTGGATCAGGGTCTCCTTGGATTGACCATAATCCTAACCTTATTTTAACTACGCGAATTGCAGACATTTAGATCTTGTTTCGAGCATTGATTGAGTTGTAGTAAAATAATTTATTTAAGTACTGGACCAAAGAAATATTCAAAATTACTTATATGTTCATACAAGTGTACAATATTGACAAGATTACAAATGAAATTAATTAACTCTTTACTCAACGTTTTACCGGGTTTTTAAACCACAGAGAAATAGTGGCACCTCTGATCTTATAAATAAATAAGTCATAAAATGAGCATGCTAGTGTTTTATTTAAACAATTCCTGACAATAAGTAAGTATGATACCTTGAAAAAGAACTGTAGTTACTATGTAGGTTTTTAGTTAAACATTTCACAACGAGACGATTACAGCTATTTGGCCAATTAAATTAAACCTTATATTAATATTATTTTTTTGTATTACCCTTTTTCATTAAACGATGAGGCAGGGGTCTCCACCTTACAATATATATATATATATATATAGTTGAAGGAGAGTTCAACATTAGGAACGCGTTTGAGGCGTACGCGTTTCTAGAAGACGATGAAAAGGCCTCAGAGGAAATAGCATTATCACGAGCAATTTACAGCAAAGATATTGTTGTTTCTGAAGTCAAGAGGCTTCTCAAGGAAAATTTTGGAGAAATCCAAATATCTTTAGTGGGTAAGTGAATCTTAAATCGATTAAATAAACCCAACCGTTAATATTAAGCACACCAATTAATAAATTTTATTTTTCTTTCAGTACCTAGGCCTCAAACGCAAACGTTTGAGCCCTTACAACGAGCACGCGGCCGTGGCCGCGCCAGGGCCCTGCAGGGGTCGCCACACAAGTGGATGGGGTACACGGCCCTATCCATTTATTGAACGTGGACGTGGACGTCCCAATAAAGTAATAATAAATTTTTAAGTTTTTGTGTTTGTATTTTACAAAACAGCATTTTTAAATAATTTTTTCGTTTTTTAGGGAAAAATTTGTTCACCTAATTTGGACGATGAAGATATAGGGTCAATTCATATATTCAAACAAAATGATTACGTTATTTATATATACGCGTTGAAGGGGGGAATATAATATTAGGGACGCGTTTGAGGCCTACGCATTTCTTGATGACGACGATGAGGCCTCAGAAGAATTATACATCTCCAGATCAATTTTCAACAATGAGATTAAAGTACCCGAAATAAAAAAGCTATTGGAAAGCAATTTCGAAGACCAAATCCAAATCTCGTTAGTGGGTAAGTGAATCTTAAATCGATTAAATAAACCCAACCGTTAATATTAAGCACACCAATTAATAAATTTTATTTTTCTTTCAGTACCTAGGCCTCAAACGCAAACGTTTGAGCCCTTACAACGAGCACGCGGCCGTGGCCGCGCCAGGGCCCTGCAGGGGTCGCCACACAAGTGGATGGGGTACACGGCCCTATCCATTTATTGAACGTGGACGTGGACGGGGACGTGGACGTCCCAATAAAGTAATAATAAATTTTTAAGTTTTTGTGTTTGTATTTTACAAAACAGCAATTTTAAATAATTTTTTCGTTTTTTAGGGAAAAATTTGTTCACCTAAGTTTGGACGATGAAGATATAGGGTCAATTCATATATTCAAACAAAATGATTACGTTATTTATATATATGTCGTTGAAGGGGGGGAATACAATATTAGGGACGCGTTTGAGGCCTACGCATTTCTTGATGACGACGAAGAGGCCTCAGAAGAATTATACATCTCCAGATCAATTTTTAACAATGAGATTAAAGTACCCGAAATAAAAAAGCTATTGGAAAGCAATTTCGGAGACCAAATCCAAATCTCGTTAGTGGGTAAGTGAATCTTAAATCGATTAAATAAACCCAACCGTTAATATTAAGCACACCAATTAATAAATTTTATTTTTCTTTCAGTACCTAGGCCTCAAACCCAAACGTTTGAGCCCTTACAACGAGCACGCGGCCGTGGCCGCGCCAGGGCCCTGCAGGGGTCGCCACACAAGTGGATGGGGTACACGGCCCTATCCATTTATTGAACGTGGACGTGGACGTCCCAATAAAGTAATAATAAATTTTTAAGTTTTTGTGTTTGTATTTTACAAAACAGCAATTTTAAATAATTTTTTCGTTTTTTAGGGAAAAATTTGTTCACCTAAGTTTGGACGATGAAGATATAGGGTCAATTCATATATTCAAACAAAATGATTACGTTATTTATATATACGCGTTGAAGGGGGGAATACAATATTAGGGACGCGTTTGAGGCCTACGCATTTTTTGATGACGACGATGAGGCCTCAGAAGAATTATACATCTCCAGATCAATTTTCAACAATGAGATTAAAGTACCCGAAATAAAAAAGCTATTGGAAAGCAATTTCGAAGACCAAATCCAAATCTCGTTAGTGGGTAAGTGAATCTTAAATCGATTAAATAAACCCAACCGTTAATATTAAGCACACCAATTAATAAATTTTATTTTTCTTTCAGTACCTAGGCCTCAAACGCAAACGTTTGAGCCCTTACAACGAGCACGCGGCCGTGGCCGCGCCAGGGCCCTGCAGGGGTCGCCACACAAGTGGATGGGGTACACGGCCCTATCCATTTATTGAACGTGGACGTGGACGTCCCAATGAAGTAATAATAAATTTTTAAGTTTTTGTGTTTGTATTTTACAAAACAGCAATTTTAAATAATTTTTTCGTTTTTTAGGGAAAAATTTGTTCACCTAAGTTTGGACGATGAAGGGTCAATTCATATATTCAAACAAAATGATTACGTTATTTATATATACGCGTTGAAGGGGGGAATACAATATTAGGGACGCGTTTGAGGCTTACGCATTTCTTGATGACGACGAAGAGGCCTCAGAAGAATTATACATCTCCAGATCAATTTTTAACAATGAGATTAAAGTACCCGAAATAATAAAGCTATTGGAAAGCAATTTCGGAGACCAAATCCAAATCTCGTTAGTGGGTAAGTGAATCTTAAATCGATTAAATAAACCCAACCGTTAATATTAAGCACACCAATTAATAAATTTTATTTTTCTTTCAGTACCTAGGCCTCAAACGCAAACGTTTGAGCCCTTACAACGAGCACGCGGCCGTGGCCGCGCCAGGGCCCTGCAGGGGTCGCCACACAAGTGGATGGGGTACACGGCCCTATCCATTTATTGAACGTGGACGTGGACGTCCCAATGAAGTAATAATAAATTTTTAAGTTTTTGTGTTTGTATTTTACAAAACAGCAATTTTAAATAATTTTTTCGTTTTTTAGGGAAAAATTTTTGAACCTCAATTTGGAAGATGAAGAAACAGGCTCCATTTTCGTATTCAAAGAGGAAGACTTCCTTATATATATTCTTCTAGAAACGCGTACGCCTCAAACGCGTTCCTAATGTTGAACTCTCCTTCAACTATATATATATATATATATATATATATATATATATATATATATAGTTGAAGGAGAGTTCAACATTAGGAACGCGTTTGAGGCGTACGCGTTTCTAGAAGACGATGAAAAGGCCTCAGAGGAAATAGCATTATCACGAGCAATTTTCAGCAAAGATATTGTTGTTTCTGAAGTCAAGAGGCTTCTCAAGGAAAATTTTGGAGAAATCCAAATATCTTTAGTGGGTAAGTGAATCTTAAATCGATTAAATAAACCCAACCGTTAATATTAAGCACACCAATTAATAAATTTTATTTTTCTTTCAGTACCTAGGCCTCAAACGCAAACGTTTGAGCCCTTACAACGAGCACGCGGCCGTGGCCGCGCCAGGGCCCTGCAGGGGTCGCCACACAAGTGGATGGGGTACACGGCCCTATCCATTTATTGAACGTGGACGTGGACGTCCCAATAAAGTAATAATAAATTTTTAAGTTTTTGTGTTTGTATTTTACAAAACAGCAATTTTAAATAATTTTTTCGTTTTTTAGGGAAAAATTTGTTCACCTAAGTTTGGACGATGAAGATATAGGGTCAATTCATATATTCAAACAAAATGATTACGTTATTTATATATACGCGTTGAAGGGGGGAATACAATATTAGGGACGCGTTTGAGGCCTACGCATTTCTTGATGACGACGATGAGGCCTCAGAAGAATTATACATCTCCAGATCAATTTTCAACAATGAGATTAAAGTACCCGAAATAAAAAAGCTATTGGAAAGCAATTTCGAAGACCAAATCTAAATCTCGTTAGTGGGTAAGTGAATCTTAAATCGATTAAATAAACCCAACCGTTAATATTAAGCACACCAATTAATAAATTTTATTTTTCTTTCAGTACCTAGGCCTCAAACGCAAACGTTTGAGCCCTTACAACGAGCACGCGGCCGTGGCCGCGCCAGGGCCCTGCAGGGGTCGCCACACAAGTGGATGGGGTACACGGCCCTATCCATTTATTGAACGTGGACGGGGACGTGGACGTCCCAATAAAGTAATAATAAATTTTTAAGTTTTTGTGTTTGTATTTTACAAAACAGCAATTTTAAATAATTTTTTCGTTTTTTAGGGAAAAATTTGTTCACCTAAGTTTGGACGATGAAGATATAGGGTCAATTCATATATTCAAACAAAATGATTACGTTATTTATATATACGCGTTGAAGGGGGGAATACAATATTAGGGACGCGTTTGAGGCCTACGCATTTCTTGATGACGACGAAGAGGCCTCAGAAGAATTATACATCTCCAGATCAATTTTTAACAATGAGATTAAAGTACCCGAAATAAAAAAGCTATTGGAAAGCAATTTCGGAGACCAAATCCAAATCTCGTTAGTGGGTAAGTGAATCTTAAATCGATTAAATAAACCCAACCGTTAATATTAAGCACACCAATTAATAAATTTTATTTTTCTTTCAGTACCTAGGCCTCAAACGCAAACGTTTGAGCCCTTACAACGAGCACGCGGCCGTGGCCGCGCCAGGGCCCTGCAGGGGTCGCCACACAAGTGGATGGGGTACACGGCCCTATCCATTTATTGAACGTGGACGTGGACGGGGACGTGGACGTCCCAATGAAGTAATAATAAATTTTTAAGTTTTTGTGTTTGTATTTTACAAAACAGCAATTTTAAATAATTTTTTCGTTTTTTAGGGAAAAATTTTTGAACCTCAATTTGGAAGATGAAGAAACAGGCTCCATTTTCGTATTCAAAGAGGAAGACTTCCTTATATATATTCTTCTAGAAACGCGTACGCCTCAAACGCGTTCCTAATGTTATATATATATATATATATATATATATATATATATATAGTTGAAGGAGAGTTCAACATTAGGAACGCGTTTGAGGCGTACGCGTTTCTAGAAGACGATGAAAAGGCCTCAGAGGAAATAGCATTATCACGAGCAATTTTCAGCAAAGATATTGTTGTTTCTGAAGTCAAGAGGCTTCTCAAGGAAAATTTTGGAGAAATCCAAATATCTTTAGTGGGTAAGTGAATCTTAAATCGATTAAATAAACCCAACCGTTAATATTAAGCACACCAATTAATAAATTTTATTTTTCTTTCAGTACCTAGGCCTCAAACGCAAACGTTTGAGCCCTTACAACGAGCACGCGGCCGTGGCCGCGCCAGGGCCCTGCAGGGGTCGCCACACAAGTGGATGGGGTACACGGCCCTATCCATTTATTGAACGTGGACGTGGACGTCCCAATAAAGTAATAATAAATTTTTAAGTTTTTGTGTTTGTATTTTACAAAACAGCAATTTTAAATAATTTTTTCGTTTTTTAGGGAAAAATTTGTTCACCTAAGTTTGGACGATGAAGATATGGGGTCAATTCATATATTCAAACAAAATGATTACGTTATTTATATATACGCGTTGAAGGGGGGAATATAATATTAGGGACGCGTTTGAGGCCTACGCATTTCTTGATGACGACGATGAGGCCTCAGAAGAATTATACATCTCCAGATCAATTTTCAACAATGAGATTAAAGTACCCGAAATAAAAAAGCTATTGGAAAGCAATTTCGAAGACCAAATCTAAATCTCGTTAGTGGGTAAGTGAATCTTAAATCGATTAAATAAACCCAACCGTTAATATTAAGCACACCAATTAATAAATTTTATTTTTCTTTCAGTACCTAGGCCTCAAACGCAAACGTTTGAGCCCTTGCAACGAGCACGCGGCCGTGGCCGCGCCAGGGCCCTGCAGGGGTTGCCACACAAGTGGATGGGGTATACGGCCCTATCCATTTATTGAACGTGGACGTGGAGGTCCCAATAAAGTAATAATAAATTTTAAATAAGTTTTTGTGTTTTTTTATTTTTTTGTTATTAAATTTTTAAATCAATTATTTTGTTTTATTTCTGAAGGAAGGAAGGTTCACATAAGATGGGCGTTGTACTTATCTAATTATAATTGTAATAATATGTTCATTTTCACTAATGTGTAAATATTCGTATAGCGGGGACGCCCATACCCATGGGCAAGGGGGGCCCTCGCCCCCCCCCTGGTTGCCAACCCAACTTTATCCACAAAATATGTTGGTACCTATAGGTATAGGAAAATGTTCATGTTTTATTTTGGAAATAAATTATTACCCACTAATAACTTATTTTATTTAATTTGTAAATGTTACTTTTTAATGAGAATATTGCCAAAAAGTAACCACTATAGTAAGTATTTTGTAAAAAAAAACGACATGGATATTACATTTATTTGTGTGGATGGATGGAATTTTGCCGGCTGTAATACCAAAGGAAATCAAAAAATTAAAAATAGAGAACATAAACTATCAAAAAACTTATAAAGTACTTTAAAAACCCGATAATACATATTATAAAGCCAACATAATATGTATCTTTTATATTTATCGCACACATTATTAAAATTGTCAGCTTGTAAATATTGTTTATATCTCTTTCTAGATAAACGGGACATCATTGCATTGCATCTGAACGCAAGTCGACAACCGTTGAAAACAATCAATTTCTTTTTGGCGCCAAACGGAAATAACGGTCAGAATAAGGCTGACAGAAAATGGAAATTATTCTCTCATATGGGTTAAATAGGAGATCATTGGAAATCTCCAACTGATATTTAACCGGAATCTTCCCATTTGGACCAATATATCGTTTTATCGGCCCGAAGTGGTCCCAATAGGCGTTACATTGGTCCGAATGGGATGCTTCCAGTCCATTCAGATAATATCTGTAATGCCTCTATTGGGAAATTCATACGGGTATCTGATCGGACTGAATCTGAGATTTCTGGTACAAAAACATCATTCAACCCAATACAATCCAACACTTTATTTTTTAATGGTATCTGTTGGTTATTTACAACAGGGTAGTACTTAGTAATAGTTTTGTATTCTTCTCAAACTTTTTATAAGTTGATCTTGTACCTAGATTTACAAATAGAGTATAGTATAATTTTTAAGAAAATTTCTTTTATCCTCAAGAGTACTCAAAAAATACTACTAACTAATATATTTACAAAGTACCTATATCTTAAAAAGTGTGTAGAATCCGAAAATGCAAAAACTACAGGGTGTTTTATTGAAAATAAGAAATTTGGTATAGTCCCAGGAAAAACTTAATCAGCATTTAGCTCTTAAGCTACCACCTTTCTCTACAAGGTTTTATTGGTAAAATAACGAAAATTCGGCAATTCATGATTAAGGTAAAAAAAAATAATTAGAGAGGGGAACCTCTAGGGATTTTAAGTTTAGTTTTATTGATTGACATTTGACAATTCAACTATTATTAACAATTGATTGAATCTTTGGTTTATATTTTGTAATATATATAATTCTTTTTATTGTAGGATTCTAGCACATTGCTGTTTGGGCAGACCCCGAGACGAACACAATTCACACCCGTTCCCAAGTAACATTTTTAGTTTTATATTAGGTTTAGGAAGGTAACCATCACTAACTTATATAACTTAAGGTCATATTTAATAGTCAGGAGAAATTGTTTATGCCAATTATAAAAGCGTTATAGGCCTTAAATGGCCTAGTTTATAACTGTTTTCTTAGTAACTACAATGACCTAGAGTACGCTACTGATAGTAGAGAACACCTTAAAAAAACCTTTATAAAACTAACCCAGTAACTACTATAAAACTTAAAGTAAGGTCTTAACTGGTTACCTTTACCTAAATAGAACCAGTACTAAAAGTTATATAATATTTCCGGTAACCTTTAAGGAACTGCAGTACATACTTTATATTTATTGTCTTTGTCAGCCTGCTTCTTTTTTAATATTCATAATCTATGTTTACTAAGCAAACACTTAACAGCGCAGCATCACTTCGGGTGGGGAAGATTATTATTTTAAAATGGCTACTCTCGCAATGCAGTGAAGTAAATGTTTGCTAAAACTCTCAGGTAGGTAGAAATTCACTTGCGAATTCTTTTGTACTGTGTAAAATTGTAATTTTTTTGTTAATAAAAACTATGAATATATATTACATTTTTCTATAATCCAGTTAAAAATAAAGATTACTTAAATCTCTGGCTTGACAAGACCCAAAAATGTGCATAGTTTAATATTTTTAAGCTTTACTCAATTTTTAAAGCATATTTTTGTAATAAATTTTCTAACCTAAAATTAAAAATCTCAGAAGAGTATGGCCACCGCAGATCTAGGTAATAGTTATCACTACATATTTTATAATTTACTCCACACCTTAAGTTATATAAAGGAAATTTTAGGGATATTTATTACTTCTTATCAGCAGTTATAAAACACGTAGTGGTCATCATTACCTATATAAATTCAGAGGTAACGACCATGACTATTGGTTATCTATGTGACTGTTATATAACCTAAGGTGTTGGCGCTTGCGTAGAAAATACTTATGAAAACATAACCTGAGATTTTTGTTATTGAAGGTTTGCTACACAGAACATAAGGTTTGCTAAATAGATAATAATATTATCATAATATGTCCTACAAAATCGTGCAGACCGAGGAACCAGGGCGTGAAAAACCCTCATCGACAATTGTGCCTTGTGGTTGGGAGGTAAATAATGTTTTATTTTGGCCCAAAAATAAAAAACTCATCAAGAATTATAAAAGATCCAATTTCCATGCCAGAGGACGACTGGATAAAATACCCATGTATTACTCATTTTTTCAATATCTTTTAACACACCATGGATGAAAAAATCAAAATTCATCAAACTGGACTTAAAATTAAAACTATAATAATTATTATATAAAGGAAACTAAAAGTACTTGACGTTTTATAAAAACAACTTAAAGAAATCTTCGTAACCAGAAGTGTTAAGTTTTATATAACGGTTTCTAAAATCAATTAAAATAACAAAATAGTGTGAATAATTTCCTTTATAAAACCCGGTGCAACAAGATTTATAAACAAATTTACAAAACAGTTATATAACCTGTTTATAATACTTGAGGTGCTTGGAACTAAAGGTTTTGTAAGAAAGGTAATGAACAGTATTCCGCAACCATGTTATAAAACTTTTGGGGATAAGTAATCGATATGACCACTTTAAAACCTGAATCCCTGTGGGTAATTTGTTTTACTATTATAAACCTTTTATATAAATAATGAGAACTTTAGGTAATTAAAAATGTTACTTGGGTTATAACGCACCACAACAACATAAAGCACATACTGACATTTACCCTTTTATGTATTTATAATAATAAATAAACATCTTAATAATTAAGGTATGTTGTTTTATTATGATTATAAACGTTCAAAAATTTAGAACCGTTACAAGCTGACTTGGATTTTGTAAATGAATCAGGGTGTATTTTGTAAAAATATCTTTGTACAAACTCCATAGTAAGACTTAAATGCTGAGGGTATCTGGGATTGAAATTATAATAAATGCAAAAACACAAGTTAAACGCTTCATGAAATGTTAAGCAGCCATCATTTGAGATAGGATGTTTCTCTAATATAATGTAAAATTTGTGTCTATCATTGTCTAAAGTACACAAATAATAATAATTTCTTGCATTAAACTGATCACTTTAAATCAAATACATTTACTAAAGTTAATTTAAAAAAATAACATACCAATTTAATCCTTTTATATTATTCAAAACTGATGTTAGATTAATATCCTAAAACATTAACAAAATTAAAAATGTTTTTAATATTACCTTAAATTTGTATAAAATAGTCGAAAAATTTTCTTTGAAATGGTTACTTAATATTTCAATGAAATTAATTAACTCATCTTCTTCTTCCAATTTACGAGGGTGGTTCAAATATAAACCGGAATTTTTCAATAAACGCGCTAAAAATTTAGTATCGTAAAAGGAGGCTGCACTGGATGTTAGACTGGTCTGTTACGAAGCGTAGAGAACAGCCGGGACTGCGTAACCTCGCTTTTCAGTGTAGTTATAGCCATGAGCGAGAAGGATGTACCAGTGTCTGTTGCGCAACGCATCATTATTCGTATTTTGGTCAAAGATAATGTAAAATCCGCGGAAATTTATCAAAAATTACTCGAGCAGTTCGGGGATGAGTGCCTCTCCAAGACTCAAGTATATGAATGGTGTTCCGCTTTGCAAAAAGGCCGAGAAGTGGTGGCAAACTTGCCATATGCCCGGCGCCCCAAAACAAGTGTTACAGATGAGAACGTCAGCGCTGTAGAAAAACTCATTTTGGAAGACCGACGCAGTACTGTACGCGATATGGCTGAAGAATTGGGCATCAGCGTAGGTAGTATTGAGCAAATAATTCATAAACAGCTCGGTTACCGCAAAATTTCAGCCAGATGGGTGCCAAGACTTCTGAATTTTGATCAGAAATTCACACGCTGGGAAGTTTGATGAAAACATTGAACGAATTGGGTTGGGGAACACTGGAACACCCTTCTTATAGTCCCGATTTGTGGCCATGCGACTAGTATTTGTTTGGTCCATTGAAAGAGGCACTTGGCGGATTGCGATTCGAAAGCAATGCGGAGGTAGAATACTTCGTGCGCGAATGGTTACGTGACAAGCCGAGAGATTTTTACGAACAAGGCATCCGAAAGCTTCCGGAGAGGTGGCAAAAGTGTGTAGAGTGTGACGGAGACAATCTAGAAAAATTGTAAAAAATTTCAGCTCTGTAACTTAATAATAGTAAATTTTATAGCAAAATTCCGGTTTATATTTGAACCACCCTCGTATATTCTTTAAATTTACCAAATTTCAATATTTTTTTTACATCATTAAATTGATCACAACAAGCTCCGGTT